GCAATGCCCCTGCCTTGGATTTCCAAAGTGTGAGACTACAGGCATAAGCCACTACACCTGGCTAATACCATATTATTTTAATCCAGTCCGCTGTTGGTGAAGACCTAGGTTGATTCCATATATTGACTATTATGAATAGTGCTGCATTGAACATACAGATGCAAGTGTCCTTTTGATGGAACAATTAATTTTCCTTTGGGTGTATACCCAGTAATGGCAGTAATGGCATTGCTAGGTCAAATGGTAGCTCAACCCTTAGTTCTTTGAGAAATCTCCAAACTGCTTTCCACAGTGGCTGGACTAATTGACACTCCCACCAACAGTGTATAAGTGTCCCCTTTTCTCCACAGCCTTGCCAATATCTGTTATTTTTAAATTTTTTAACAAAAGACATTCTGACAGGTGTGAGATGGCATCTCATTGAGGTTTTAATTTGCATCTATCTGAGGATTAGTGATGATGAGCGTTTTTTGTTTGTTGGCCACTTGTACGTCTTCTTTTAAAAATTGTTCATATTCTTTGCTCACTTTTTAACAGGTTTGTTTGTTCTTTGATTGCTAATTTGTTTAAGTGTCTTATAGATTCTAGATATTAGACTTTTGTTGGATGCATAGTTTATGAATATTTTCCCCCATTCTGTAGGCTATTTACTTCCTTGATAGTTTCTTTTGCTGTGCAGAAGCTCTTTAATTAGGTCCCACTTATCAATTTTTGATTTCGTTGCCATTGCTTTAGGGGACTTAGCTAAATATTTTTTTGCCAAACCCAATATCAAGAGGGGTAATTCCAAGGTTTCCTTCTAGGGTTTTTATATTAATAGATTGGGAACTTACATTTAAGTCTTTCATCCATCTTGAGTTAATTTTTGTATTTGGTGATATGTAGGAGTCCAGGTTTGTTCTTCTGCATATGTATCCATATGTATCATTTATCTCAGCACCATTTATTGAATAAGGAATCTTTTCCTCATTTCTTTTTTTGGGTTTGTTGAAGATCAAGTGGTTGTAAGTATATAGCTTTATTTCTGGGTTCTCTATTCTGCTCCACTGGTCTATGTGATACCTGACTTAATAAGAATTTGCTAATCTGCAAAACATTTGAAAACCATTGCATTTTACTTTCCTGTTCAGTTTCTGCATCTGTGAAAAGAGTATAATGATAATATCTACTTTACTGTGAAGGGTAAGTGAGAAGGTGCATGTGAACTGCTGTGTAAACTGCTGGTGTTATTCAGATAGGAAGGTGTTTGCTATTTTCTTTGCTTGCTTGAGACAGTCTCAGCCCTGTTGCCCAGGCTGGAGTGCAGTGGCTCGCATCTTGGTTCACTGCAACCTCCGCCTCCCTAGTTCAAGCGATTCTCCTGCCTTAGCCTCCTGAGTAGCTAGGACTACAGGCATGCACCACCATGCCTGGCTAATTTTTTGTATCTTTAGTGGAGACAGGTTTTCACCATGTTGGCCAGGCTGGTCTCGAACTCCTAACTTCGTGATCTGCCTGCCTTGGCCTCCCAAAGTGCTGGGATTATAGGCATGAGCCACCTTGCCTGGTGTTAGGAGATACTAACGCAATTAAAAATCTTCACTACAACCAACCCACAACCTTGATAGCATGTTTCACACACCTGAAAAAGCATGTTGGCTTTCAGATGGCTCCTGGGTACTAGCATGCAGTTTAGATTTGAAAGCTTTATTTAAAGGGTGGTGTCTCAATACATTTTTTGGATGTTTATTAGTACACTGTGCAATATACATTTTGCAGAAGGTGGTTATGAATTCTACCATGGAAAAATGTTACATCTTTGACCTGATTTAGGGCAACTTTTTTTTTTTAAGTGAGATAGTAGCACTGTAGTTGTCCTGCTTCCTTTTTAAAGAATAAACTTAAAACATTTTAGAGTACCAAAAAGTTGCAGATAGTATAGAGTTCCTACATATTCCGTACCTAGTTTCTTGTTTTGTGAGCATCTTATATCACCCTGGTACATGTGTCACAGCTAAGGAACCAACATAGGCACATCGCTATTAACTAAACCACACAATTTATTTGTATTTGACTGGTACTTTTTTCATTACATCATATCAAAGGTACATGCTGTCCATATGATTTAGCACTGTTGATGTTAATCTTGATCACCAGGCCAAGGTAATCTTTGCTGTTTACTAGGTTTCTCCATTGTAAAGTGACTTCTCCCCATTTCCAACGTCTAGGTTTTGGGAGCATATCACTAAACACGGCCCATATTTCAGTCGCTCCTTCTGTTTTGAGATCCATACTGAAATATTGAGAAGTAAAATGACATGATGTCAAATATTTGTTTTAAAATGGTTTAGGAAAGATAAAAAGCATGGGGAGGGGCCGGGCGCGGTGGCTCA